CTCCGCGCTTCCCTCCCGTAACGTTTCCCGTTTCACCCCCATGAGTCTCCCCACCTCCGACCCACCCCCCTTTTTCTCTTCCAGTGAAATAGGAGGCCTCCCCCAGCAGCGGATCCTTCCTTTTCATCTGCCCGTGCACCCTTCAGGTCAGGCTGCGATGAGTGGACTGAGGTCTCCTGGGCTGCTGGGGCTGGTGCTCTTCATTTTTTTCTCTTAATGCTCTCCGCAGGATATTGCAAAGAGAAAACTGACTCCGCAGATTTGAAGGACAGACAAAGTCTCTTAGATCTGATCATGGAGATCATTCAGGAACTGAAAAGGTACCACCTGGAGAAGGACGGCGGGGTGCAGTACTTCTCCAAACACGACTATAACTTGGATCGAAGGGAAGTGGCTGACTACGGAGGATACCAGGATGAGCAGAGAGTTGGTAAGTCACAGCCCATGACCTAGGAGATCTTTTTTTTTTTTTTTTTCTCTAGGGTGCCTCGGTGAATGAGACATCACATCAGGTTACTAATTTTATATCAAGAATTCACCGCCCAAAATACCTGCAGATTCCCTTTGGTATCAGAAGCAGACACAGATGGCAAATCTGGAATAGAAAAACTCCATTCACATCTCAGAGTCTCTTACTCTCTGGATGATGTCCTCAACTGGAAGTACAACTTCCTCTGTGTTGGCTTTGAACGAAACCTATTAATAAGGGAAAAGACTGAAACGGGCTGAGATCAAAGAAATAAGGGATGAAAACGTTCTTTTCCTGGAAGTTTACCACTCCTTAAATGTGCTTGGTTTAAGTGTTTCTTGGAAATGACCCTAGCAAGAATTCCCCTGCAGGACTATAGTATGTCCTTATAGATCTCACACCTAGCATCTCTTTCCTGCAGCTCAGCTTCATTGAACTTTTTGCCCCGCTTGTTAGTCCTTTTTGTACTCCGGAGGTAGCGCCTTTGAAATCCTAGGGAACTGAAACGGAGTACTCCTCTGTCACTGCACACGCTGTGACCGCTTTGGGACACTCCTGCAGTCGTCCTTCTGCTCCTTGGAACGGCTCTTCCCTAACCTCCAGTGAGAGCCGGGGTTGGTCTGTGAGCCGTGCAGGCTTGTATGGAGCGGTCCAGCAGCAGCCGTACCAAGCCACGCAGTGACGGACGGTTACCGCTGCGTTTCGTGATGTACTTCCGTGCATCCAGAGGAAAGCTGATTTGGCTTCTCCTCCTGCCATGTCTCATTCGCTGTCGACGGTGGCTCCCAAACCCCTGCAGCATTACTGCTGCTCGTCTTGCCCCTCCAAATGAAAGTGACTTTCTGAATATTTTCCAGCAGATGTCTACTCACCTTTTTTCCAAACTGGCTTTCGTTTTGCTAGTATGCTATTTATTTTGCCTTTATTGATCTCATAAAGCTTCATTGTACCTTTTCTTCATTCTCATTCATATTCAAACATCCTCACGATTTGCATTTGTTGGTGGTTGTCATGAAAATGTTACTTCTCCATCTGGATGATTAATGGATATACAAAGGAAGACAATTTTGTTCCACTTAAGATCAGCACAGTGAGAGCATTTTATTTTACAAATGTTGAAAAGTTAAGAGGCCAGGCTAAGCAGGGAACCCTGATCCGCACAACTCTTAAATCGCAACTTGGAACACGGGCGTAGTTTTTGGCCACCCTACATCAGCATATTGGTGCGAAACATCTGGTGTGTGCTGAACAGCTATCTGTGCAAATGATAAACCTCCTTCAGAGCAGATTAGTTGGTAGGAGTGTTACTGACTCCTAAGCAGGATTTTTCATTCTGTTACTATAATGGAGTTACTCCCAGCAACTCTGGAAAGGAACTAGCGCTTAGAGTCTTTCATTTCAGTTCTGGCATCGCTTTCCCAGTGAGCCTGTCCCATGGGAAATGTCTGAGTGAAGCACGTGTGTTTTTAATGCTCTTCATGACATAATTAGGTCAAACATGATAAGGTCAATTTTACTTACACTGACTAAAGTTAGAAGTAAATGAAGAATGACTTTCGAGAAGTGTCTAACCTCACAAGTGAATCAGATCTGGATGGAAATGCTCTCTGCTTTATATCTGATAAGAGGTGCCAGGGGAATGAGAAAGGCTGCTCAGGCATTTATGGTCAAATAAATAAAGCACCATGTAGTGTATCATACACGATCTGCACTAAGCTATCAGCATAGACTTCGGAAGGGAAAGCAATCAAAGATAGCTGTAAATCAGGAAGACACAAGCAAGGGTTAGGGCTAAAATGGATTTCAGTAAACCAGTTTCATTTTGCCATCTGCTGAACACAATACGCAAGGCGGTAAACCACAAATGTAGGGAGCCAGAAGAGAGCAATTTGCTTGGGATCATTTCCTGTGAATTTTATTTACTGCT